CTTATCTGTTTGACTTTAATATTTTGATTCTCAGAGCTTGTGTGTTCATTGGCATTAACTGTGGGTGTCCTTCAAGAAGAATACAGTTCTTAGAAATCTAAGAACTAGGAGCAAGCATTTCAGCCCCGCGAGCCTGCTCCGCTATTTAACACTGTCGTGGCTGATCTCATCTTGTCCTCTGTCCTCAAACGTCCCAGCATGTATCACATTCTGGGGTAGTGAATTACACTGATTCATGACCCTCTGTGAGAAGTAATTTCACTTCATCGCAGTTTTAAATCTGCTACCCTTTATTCTAAAGATATGACTGCTTGTTCTAGATGGTCCCACATGAAAAAACATCCTTTCTGAACTAACTTTGACAGTCCCCTTTGTGTTTTATATACCTCAATTAAACCTCCTCTAATTCTTCTAAATTGAATATTGACCTGAACTGCTGAAATCCCTTCATAAGACAAAACCCTCATCTCTGGAGTCAATCTAGTGAGCCTCCTCTGAACTGCATCCAACACAGTTACATCCTTCCTCAAGTACTGGGACTGAGGTTGTAGATAGTAGTTCAGGTCCCGTAGTACTTCACAACTTTTATACTCTATTCCCTTAGCAATAAAGTCCATTCGCCTGCCTTTATTATCATCTGCACCTGCATACTAATTTCTGTAATTCATGCACAAGGGCGCCCAGATCGCTTTGCACTAAAGCACTCTGAAGTTTCTCCCTATTCCCCCTATAAGTTGCCTTTCTGTTCCTCTGGTCAAACTGAATAACCTCTCACTTATCCATGTTAAACTCTTTCTGCCATATTTTGACCTGTTTATTGAACCTATCCAGTTTGATTTATAAGTTTATTTTTTCATTGCAACATACTTTCTCATTTATTTTAGTCTCGTCTGCAAATTTGAACTAATCAATGCAGTATTGCTTACTCACCCCCTTCAAGCAGTACTTAAATGAAATTTGTATGAAAATGGGATTGTCTCAAGAACGTTATAAGCCATATGCAGAGTCCTGAAATTGTGGGCAAAGTGAAAATATGAAAAGGCTGCTTTCTTTAGGATGGGTTATTAATTGAGCAGCTGCTTCATTTGGGTTAAGCATATGCCAGTTTTGTGATCTAGGTTGAATTTGTTTGTTACCTAGGTTGAGGTAGGAAATCTGCATGTATTCTTGTTATGCCCACCTTAGCCAAGCACAATTGCCTTTGGTTTACTGCACTTCAATTCTAGGTTAACCTGTGGATGTAATTGAACTTGGTTCTGATGCTTGACGTGTGAAGCTTAGCTACCTGAATTCCTTGTGCATATAAAAAAGAGAATAAGACACTGGAGGTTGTCTGGTTTCTTTGGACTCTAGGGTCTCACAGCTTTAGTCGAGATGGAGCAGATCAAAATGGTAGAAAAGGAAGAAACCAAAAAGCTTAAGCATGATCACTGTATACCTTCCTAATGGCTCTTCTGGTTAGATGAGTGAGCAGCTGAACTGTAGGTTTGAATCTCTTCTATGTACTGAGTTGGCCTCCTTGCTCTCAAATGTGGTAGGACAAGAATTAGGTTTCAATTTACAAAAGAATGACTCTTTCGTGGTGCCGAGCAGCGTGGGCCAGAACCTTTATAATCCTATAAGATCTCTATCTTCCAAGAGCCAAGGAAATTGCAAGAAAAATCTGCAATTGTAGATCAAAACTTAAACCTTCATTGACATGAGAATTCTGCATTAAAGGATTGTGAATAAAGTGAAGAAGCAAATCAAAAGATCAAGTCTTGTTGGAAATGAGATTTGTAAGATTATTTTAGGATCAGGGCTTTAATTTTTTTTTTTGCTCATGGAATGTGGCATTGTTGGCTGGCCAGCATGTATTGCCTTTCGAGCTGACTTCTTGAATCACTCCAGTCCATGTCCTGTAGGTTGCCCACAATGCCACTAGGGAGAGAATTCCAGGATTTTTACTCAGACAGTGAAGGAGTGCTGATACATTTCCGTGTCAGGGTGGTGAGTGGCTTTGAGGGGCATTTGCAGGTGGTGGTGTTGCCATGAATCTAGTGCCCTTGTGCTTCTAGATGGAAGTGGTTGTGGGTTTGGAAGATGCTCCCTTAGGATCTTTGGCAAATTTCTACAAGTGCACCTTGTGGATTTTAAATACTGCTGCTACTGAGCATCGATGGTGGTGGGAATGGATGCTTGTGGATGTGGTGGCAATTTAGTGGGCTGCTTTGTCCAAAATGGCGTGAAGCTTCTTGAGTTTTGTTGGGGCTGTCCTCCTCCAGGCAAGTCGGGAATATTCCATTGTACTCCTGACTTGTGCCTTATAGATGATGGGCAACCTTTGTGGAGTCAGAAGGTGAGTTTCTTGCTGCAGTCTTCCTCTGCCCTGCTTTTGTTGCCCCTTCACTTATAAGGTGAGTTAAGTTGAGTTTCAGGCCAAGGATAACCCCCAAAATGTTGATAGTGGGGCATTCAGTGGTGGTAACACCATTGAATGTGTCAAGGGTTGATGGTCAGATTGTGTCTTATTGGAGATGGTCATTGTCGGGCATTTGTATTTTGTGGATGTTACATGTCACTTGTCAGCCCAAGACTGAGCAGTATCCAGGTCTTGTTGCATTTGAACATGGACTGCTTCAGTATTTGAGAAGTGGCAAGTGGTAATGAACGTTGTGCTGTCATTGGCAAATATGCCCACATCTGACCTTATCAGTGACCTCCCCTCCATCATGAAACAGCTGAAGATGGTTGGGCCTAGGATGCTACCCTGAGCTAACAGACCTCCAGCAACCAAAACCAACTTCGTATGTGTCAGGTATGACTCCAACCATCAGAGTTTTCCCATTGATTCCAGTTTTGCTAAGACTCCTTAGTGCCATACTCAGCCTTGATGTCAAGGGCTGTCACTGTCACCTCACCTCTGGAATTCAGCCGCTTTGTCCACATTTGTGCCAAACTATAATGAGGTCAGGAGCTGAATGGCCTAGCAGAACCCAAATT